TCATCCAACAGGTTATTCAAAGCCCACAGGTACCTTATGGAGAGATACATTTTCTCAGAAGCTCGGAGCCTCAGATCACGTGGAGAAACTACTCAAGATTGGTCCAGTGAGTACACCGTCCCCTGTTTATCAAGAAAAAGGGCATTCTCAGAGTCCCCAGTTTTCTTCAGGACAAAGAATAGGTCATCTGCTGCCTGAAAATGTGACGACAGTCCCCACTACAGTAGCTGCTGCTGCTCTACATACCGTCTCCGCCTCTCCAGAGCCCCGGTCTCTCTTCCCCAGCCGTGCTCCAGCCATACCGTCTGTGTCTTCCCAACCACAGGCGGCCACCACGGCTCCGCCTGCAGCGACAGTCGCGTCTCAGCCTCCCGCCGTCATCTCTACCATTTTGACACGTGCAGTGGTTACACCTGAAGCTCACATGACTACCACAGCAGTTCCAACCACCATCTTTCAGGCACCTACAGACTTGAAAGGCCCACCAGAAACGGTGCCCTTTAGAGAAATTTCCAACCTAACTGTGACCACAGAGCAGGCCCCTAACCCTGCTGCAGGTCTTTTGCCAAATGCGGGTTCTCCCGCTATGAAGAAAACGGCTCCCCAGGAAAATGAAAAGACCAGTTTAGGCGGCTCCTCCCAGCGCGGTGTTTCAGAAAGTCAGCCCGGCCTCCCATACGAAAAGTGGCTCCTCATTGGGACCCTGCTCTTTGGCGTTCTGTTCCTCACAATAGGCCTTGTCCTCTTGGGCAGAATGCTCTTGGAATCCCTCCGTAGGAAACGTTACTCGAGACTTGATTATTTGATCAATGGGATCTATGTTGACATCTAAGAACAAAACTACATGTCTCTTAATTCATGTGGTTCCTAGTAGCCCAAATGCAATGAGTTTCTACTAACTCGCTGATCTTAGGATTTTTGAAGGTATTTTAAAGGAGGTCAAGAGCCACCTACCACTTTCTTTTTTAAGGGGGGAAAGAAAGCAAATTAGGTGATTGGAGTGATCTGTCTCTAAAATATTAGCTGAAAACAAAGCTTTACCTAAAGGAATAATGTATAATTGCCATATAAATTTGAAAAATGACTATTTTTTTTTGTTTGTTTTTGAGGGAAGGGGGGAGAAAATGGTTAGGACTTCTAGGCTCCAATTTAATATTTTTAATTCCAGATAAAGTCATCTACTTATGATATTAATGCTAATGGATTTACTTTCTTTTTATATGTATACCAATGAAACTTATTCCAGATGTATTTCCCTCCAATGAAATATTTGAATAAATCTTTTGTTACTCAGTAATGTTCTTGTAAGTCATATGCCCAGCTGGATAACTTTCCATTTATTCCCACCAGTAAATGATTAAATGATGAAAATATGTGTTCTAAATTAAAATGAAAATTCCCCTCCCCCTTTTCTCATCAATGAGCAAAGAGGTTCCTTTGGGAGAATTCCAGCAAAATATTAGGCTACATGGAGACAATGATAAGTCAGTTCTGATGCCCAAATCTACTTTGGATCTATTTTAATTAACTTTTAAATATAATAATAATAATAATAATAATATAGGCATTTTCTTAAATTTAGAACTTAACCATATTCTTTATAAGTCCTTATCTAAACTTGACCAACACTCATTTTTTGGCTTTATTTGTAGTAACATTGGAAATAATAGATAGCACTTACAATTTTTATTCGAGGATGAGTGTGTTTAACTTTCATTGATTAGTTATTGAAATGTCTGAGAAATGCTTTTAATATACAGAGTTTGCCAGACAAGTTACAGTGGGTCGCTAAGAAGCCAGGAGGCCACCTAGGTCAGTTTGACATCTGCAAAAGCAGAGGTTTGGTCCCTTCCTGGTGATAAAATGGAATTCAGGTGAGAACTTTACACAGTGGACACTAGAGGGCAGTAGGTGGTTAATAAGTATAGCAAGGAAGGCAAACGTAGGAAATGATAGAAACAGGCTTTTTTCTCTTTCCTCATCTCTTCCTTCCAGTCCCCTCTCCTGGAACCCTATCCTCCCCCTCCTCCCCGCTGGCTTATACTAAGCTCATAAAGCTCATTAAGAGGAAAGCTAGTCTACTGAAAATAGTATTTTTCACATATTTTCCAACTTAACAGTTTGACACAAATCTCCAAGGGGTTTACATAAGCTTTAAGTAGGTTGAATAAATAACACCTTGAATCAATTTAATTTAACAAGCATTTATTGAACAGCCACCTGTAGGCCAGAATCAGATTAGTAACTAAGAGCCGCAGAATTTTTAAATTCCCCCCCCCTCCTTTTTGATGGAACTAAATCGTGGAAATAAGGCTTTTCTGTGGGTGTTTTTAAGAGCTTTCTCCTGCTTCTCTTGGACCTCTCCATCTCCTTGCTGCGTACCGTCTTCTTCGAGATGGAAACTTGATGGGGAGCCCAGCCCTGAGGCCCTAGCTGTAGTCCAGATGAGAAATGCTATGGGGCCAAACTCTGGCAGTGACTGGGGACGGATGTAGATGGTAGGGGAACCGTTGGATTGAGGACCTGCTTCTAAGAGGTGGACTAGCTCTCCTCACACAGTGGATGAGACTGCTGCAAGGGGACATCCGAGGGGAAAGAAGCCTGCATTTGTTTTCTTTTAAAGAAACTGTAACAGTGATTAGCTTAGCGGCTAAGCCTTAGCCGAACTTGTAGACAAGGTGCTCTGAACTATGAGCTCTCTCCTTTGGCTTGTGAAAAGGGAAGGTGACAGCCTAGTACAGGTGAGTACACTACAATGGTTCCTCCTGCTCAGAAAATATTCTCTCTTCATTGTTAATGGAAGATAGTCACCTGGGTTAAAAGGCGATTCTTAAAAAAGAGAATGACCCCTGAAGAACACAGCCCACCGCTCATTCCCCCTGGATGAATACATTCTTGTTTCCCAGTGATCCTTGCCTGAGTGAGGCATCCTTGAAACTCTTTGGTTCCCAGGTTGTGGTGGGCACTACAGTTTATCCACACAACAGCCACCCCCAGCTCCACTTTTGCCTTATTTGTGATCTGTTGGAAGTGTCAGATTCCTTCCCAGCCCCTCTTACAGTTAGGGATGGACCTGTGACCCATTTCTAGCTTAAAGGAAACCTACTGGAGGCTTCTAGGAAAGATTATCCTCCTTGATAAGTGAGGGTCACACAAGTAAGAAAGCCCCTTTTGCCGCCAACTCCTTATTTCCTGCTTGGAATGCTGGTCAGGTGGTTCTCAACCTTCCTAATGCCGCGACCCTTTACTACAGTTCCTCATGTTGTGGTGACCCCCAACCATAAAATTATTTTCGTTGCTACTTCTTAACTGTAATGTTGCTACTGTTATGATTCGTAACGTAAATATCTGATATGCAGGATGTATTTCCAGGGGTCACTGTAAGGACTTGATAACTTGGAGCTACTGCATGCAACTATCATTGATAGTGAAGCAAACATATACTATGTGCCAGGCACACTTTTGCATATGCAAACTCATTCCTACAACAACCTCATGAAGAATTTCTTAAAAATATGTTTTTTATTGATTTTAGAGAGGAGGGGAGAGGGAAAGGGAGAGAGAAACATCAATGATGAGAGAGAATCACTGATCAGCTGCCTCCTGCATGGCCCCCACTGGGGATTGAGCCTGCAACCTGGGCATGTGCCCTGACCAGGAATCGAACTGGTAACTTCTCTGTGTATGGGTCGATGCTCAACCACTGAGCCACACCGGCTGGGCAAGAATTTTTATGCTTATTTTGCAGATTAGTAAACTGAGGCACAGAGAGGTTAAGTGACTTAAGTTTGAGGTCATTTGCCCAGATAATCTGACTCCAGAGTTCTCATTCTTTGCATTCTTATAACTGGAATGATAACAGAATAGCCAAAAAAAAAAAAAAAAGAGAGAGGTTTGCAGTAGATCAGACATATTCTAGACAACAGCTTTGAAATTTTGTTGAATTGAATGATACCTTGAACCAAAGCATGAAAATTAAGGGATCAGTGGTATCATTCTGGGATGGGCTTCCTGTACTTTTTCATTTGCTGACATCCTGTCTTCTTGTTTGGTCACTGACCACCTGTGCCAAAGTCAATGGCCACTCATTAGTTGGAGGTACACCAAAATAGAGAACCCATCCTGACCGTACCTGGGTTGCCGGCACATCCCCAGTAGGAGATGTGCAGGAGGCAGCTGATCGATGTTTCTCTCTCATTGATGTTTCTAACTCTCTATCTCTCTCCCTTCCTCTCTGTAAAAAAATCAATAAAAAATATATTTTAAAAAAATGCTTTTCTCCCTGACCAGTTTTCTCAGTGGTTAGAGCGCCAGCCTGTGGACGAAAGGGTCTTGGTTTTGATTCCCAGCCAAGGGCACATACCTTGGTTGCAGGTTCAATCTAGGCCCTGGGGCTGTAGTTCTACACCCCTGTTCTCTGTTTTTCAAATGTGCCAGGCGCCTTCACGAGCCATGCCATTCCCTCTGCTTATAAATGCCCTTCCCCTCGTTCACCTGGCCAACTTCCACTCACCTTTCAAGACTCAGCTCAAACATCACCTCCACCACTGTCTTCCCAGAGTCTCCCTGGAGATGTATAATCCTCCCGGATTTCTGGCATGGCTCTTGATTTGCACCACCAACAAGACACTTCCATGGTATCTTCTAACATATCAGTTTATATGTTACACCGCTAGACTGGGATATATTAGAGAGCAATATTTCTCTGATTCTCCCATACTTAATAGTGTGCCTGGCACATAGTAGACACTCCATAAATGATCACAAGTGAATTTTAAAACCTGTTTGGTGAAGTTCATTCCTTTCAGCAATGAGCAGTAATGTGATCGGCTGTACATGCAACAGCTTCTATATCATGCAGAGAAAATCCAGTTAAAACCCCCACTTGTATGCATTTTTTAAGAAAATAGGATACAATCCAAGTGCACAGTGATAAAGTATATACACTTAACTAAGACCATGTGCTGAGGAACCGGTAGATAAGTACTGATATTTGATTTTGTTTATTTCTTTCCTTAGAGCACAATTTACTTAGCCTATAGAGAGGGTGAGCTGACAGAATGTTTTTGCCTGTGTTCTCATATTTTTTGTTTATTTTTTAAATCTATTTTTATTGTTGAGAGTATTGCAGATGACCCCCTATTTTTGATTAATTTTAAGGTAACTTTTAGAGCACTCTTATAGCCGATGTAAGGCTCAGATTCTAAGTTGTGTGTCCCTAAATTATGATGTTAGTCAGCAAAGGAGTCAAAACTAAAACCTACAGCTCCAGCCTTTTGATTCAATATTCTTTCCGCCACACTGTACTGCCATGAGCAGAGACGTGGAAATAATGCACCTAGCAACACACACCCAGACATTGTGTGGGTGTAGGTATGTGTCCAATTTTGATTTTCAATCTCATTGTATATAACCTAATTTATAATGTCTTTAGTAAACATTTGTTTTTCATCTTCTTTTGATGAGAAACATCCATTTACATTTAAATAATAGAAAATGAGGACATGAGACTTATTGAATTCTGTTTTAATAATTACATGCAAATACTGTCCTTATCAAGGACCAACAGAATTACCTATGCAACTTTACACTCGCTTGCAGTTTTTCATGTGGATAATTTGTCTCCTCAGCAATATTGGAAGTGCCTGGAAGAGTAGAACTTCATCTTGTATTTCCTTGGATTGGCTGGTGTCAGTTATTGTTTGCCACCTGTGGCTACTGTGCAGGAAGGGTAAGATACAGCTCAGAGAATTGAAGACTCGCCCAACCTCGTCCCTGCCTCTCCATCTTTGCTTTTACTGCTGTGACAGCTCCCGCCGGCCTTTGCATTCAATAGGTGAGCAGTAAACATCTGTTAGTTTTAACATCTTATAGGGGGCTAAACTCTAAGGTTTCTGGCCCCTCTTTCATGGGATGAATGGAAGCCCAAATGCAGCCAGACAAGAACTATAAAAGGTAGGAGTGGTGGGCCCTTCATAGGTCTGGCCTACGTATGGGACCCCTCATTCCTCCTGTTCTTCTTCCCCTCTCTCTTCCCAACACCACCCTCAACTCCTCAGGCCCTGAGGCCTGTGCTTCCCTCCAGCATCCCCTCTGCCTTCAGAGGCTTGGCTTCAATGGGAAATGGGGAGACACAAGAATGGCCACGCTCTGCTTTTGAGGTACCTTCTCCTCAGAGATGTCGCTTTTTCTCACAGTCACCGAAAGCCACTCACTCACACCCTCAGAGGAAAAAAGGAAACCCTTACCAGCTCTGACAACACATACCCAGTTACATACATTTGCAGGCCTTTTTTA